CAGCACCACTTCCAGCTTTTTCTGCTTATGTGGTGCTGAGGAATCGAGCCCAGGGCCTCATGCACACAAGGCAAGCACTCTACCACTGAGCCACCTTCCCAGCCCCTCTTCTTTAATTTCTTTAATTTTCTTTTTCTGGCCTATTCTCCTATCATTTTTTTAAATTTTTCTATATTATTGTCACTTGGTCATTTCACTTTTTCCACTATGAATATGATATTATGAACATACCAGAAATTTTGGAACTACACAAATCAGATTTTAAATCCCAAACTTCCCACCAGTTGTACCAATCTAGAATGTCATTAATCATACTAAGTCCTGGTTTTCATATTTCTGACATATTACTGCTTCCTACTTTGAAAGGGTATACCATTTATTGCTCTTTTACCAAGAGCCAGGCATAGTTGTGGGTAGTGGAATGATAAAACAGATGGTTCTACTGTTGGACGTATATCAGTATACAAAACAGACACCTGCATACCAATGTTTATTGCAGCATTGTTCACAATAGCCAAATAGTGAAATCCACCAACAGGTGAACAGATAAAAAGTTATGATATACATATGTATGTATACACACACACATATACACATATCACACTTTGGAGTATTAAGTCATAAAGATAAAATCCTATCACAGCCGGTTGCCAGTGGCTCACACCTGTAATCCTACTCAGGAGGCTGAGATCTGAGGATTGCAGTTCAAAGCTAGCCTGGCAGGAAAGGCCGTGAGACTCCTATCTCCAATTAACAACCAGAAAACCAGAAGTAGTGCTGTGCCTCAAGTGGTAGAGTGCTAGCTTTGAGCTGAAGAGCTGAGGGACAGCGCCCAGGCCCAGAGTTCAAGCCTCATGACCGACCAAAAAAAAAAAAAATCCTATCACTTATAGGAAAATAGAGCTGGGGAGGCATATTGACTGACACAAGCTAAGCTTGAGATATTTAGTTCACCTGTGAAAGCTAGACCTAAAAGACATATATTCCCAGATATGAACATATATACATAAACCTGTATACATAATTATAGATGTACATATATAAAGAGAAACATGAATCTAATTATGTGACTACTTAGGAAGAAAAGGAGGAGAAAGGGTAAAAGAAAGATGGTGAATAATTCTCAGATACACCACAAATAAGTGTGTGTGTGTATATATATATGTATATATATATATATGTCATATATATTGTAATATATATGAAAACAGAATAAAGAACCTTTAATAAAACTGTTTATCAATAAGAAGTTGGGAGGAGGGGAAAAAGAAATAGGCTCTGTGGACAAAGCAGGTATTAGTGAAAGGGAGTTGTTAATGGAGGGTAGAAGGATGGGTATTGTTGAGATAGATTGCCAGCAAGTATGAAAATAGAACAATGAAACCTCTCCAAATTGTATTAAGAAGGGGAGGAGGAAAAGAGTGACAGACGGGAAGATTGATTGGAATACATTGTATACATACGAGGACATGTCACAATGAAACTCCCTTGCATAGCTAATATATGTACACGAATAAGACATTGGACTACAGCCAGATTGCTCTAAATTCCTCATATAACTTCAGTCTCCATCCCCATTTCACAAGTGAGGAAACTGAGGTACAAAGAGTATCTTGCTGTTAGCTGGTGATGGCAGCATTTTGAGAATTGAAGCCCTTGCCTGCTGCCACACACAGGGAGAAAAACAAAGCCCCGAATGTTCACTCCAGAGGAAAGCAAATCTGGACAACTACTGAGACACAGTTTTGTGATAGACAAGTATTAGTCTCTTTCCTTCCCAAATTCCATGGCTAAAAAGAAAAATCAGAAGAAGAGGAGAGAAGTAACCTGAGCACTAACAGGACTGTGCCAATAATGCCTGGCTTTTCTTTTCTTTCCTTTTTTAAATGAAGCCTGAAAAACAGCAGCCAGGAAATCAGAGATAGACACTGTAATTAATAGCTTGACTGAAAGTATGAAGACACTATTTTCATTGCTTTATTCTTTATTCTCCCTCAATGAGCTGCAATATAGAGTATGCTACTCTTTCATGATGCTGAGGGAACGTTTCACCCACCCCCCACCTCCATCCCTAGTCAGCTAAGTGACCACAAGGGTAAAATAAGCCATTCTCCATATACTGTGTTGCGAAGTTATATTTGGCAGGTTAGGTGTATTAAATGCAGTTGTGAAGTGCACTGTTAATGTACAATGGACTGACCAGGATGCAATCCTCTCTGGAGCGGAGCAGCACCTGTACTGTAGTATTGTTTGATGCCTATTTGGGCAGGCAAACACACACATTGATATTTAAACACTATTCTAGGTGATTACTGTGAAGGTGTGCTGAAATGGTGATCTAAGTTCATAATTAGTGACTTTAGTAAAGAGATTGTCCTAAAAAATAGAAGTGGCCCTGATTTAATCTGGTAAAAGGCCTTAAAAACAGAATAGAGGGGCTGGGAAGGTGGCTCAATGGTAGAGTGCTTGCCTTACATGCATGGGGCCCTCAGCACCACATAAACAGAAAAAGCTGGAAGTGGTGCTTGGCTCAAGTGGTAGAGCGCTAGCCTTGAGCTGAAAAGTTGAGGGACAGCACCCAGGCTCAGAGTTCAGCCCCCCATAACCAACAAAAAAAAAAAAAAAGCAGAATAGAGCCAGGAGCCAGTGGCTCATGCCTGTAATCCTAGTTACTCCAAAGATAAGATCTGAGGATCACGGTTCAAAGCCAGCCTAGGCAGGAAAGTCCATGAGACTCTTACCTCCAACTAACCACCAGAAAACCAGAAGTGGCGCTGTGGTAGAGCGCACGCCTTGAACTGAAGAGCTGAGGGACAAGCGCCCAGGCCCAGAATTCAAGCCCCACAACCAACCAACAACAACAAAAAAGCACAATAGAGGTCTCTCTGAAGAAGAGAAATCCTAGTTTTATATGAAACTAATTCAATGAACAGGATTTCTCTTTCCTTCCCTTCCCAGCAGCTTGCACTTCCATTCTGGAGTTGCCAGTCACAACTGTATAAGCCAAATTCTTGTAGTAACTCTGTTAATAATGTATCTCCTCAGGTGTGTTTTTAGAAAAACATTTATATTAGTAAATATTACTTGTACAAAACAATGCATTTCATTCATATACACTTGTAAATTATACTTGAATCCTATTTAGCCCTCTATCTTCACTTACTCCCCTCCCCTGGTTTCTTTCCTTTTCCCAAATATTCTTTCTTCATTCCTTCCTTCTTTCCTTCCTCCTTCCTTCCTTTTTTTGTTTCTCTTGATTCCATGTGTAAGAGAAAATATGATACTTGCTTTTTTTCTGTCTGGCTTGTTTTCCTTAATGTCTCCAATTCTATCCATTCTCTGTAATTTCATTCTTCTTTATACCTTGATCCATTCACCTTCTGAATGGAACCTAGGGTGGTTCCATGGCTTGGATATTATGACTAGAGCTCAAAAAACATGGGTGTACAGACAGCTGTAGCCTTTAGTTATATACCCACAAGTAGTATCACTGGATCACATGGTAGTTCTGTTTTTAGTTTTTCTGAAGACTCTCCACTCTGATTTCACAGTGACTGGACTACTTTGAGTTCCCATCAACAGCAGGTAAGGATTCTCCCACCCCACAACTAGAAGATTGACAGTGGTGGTCTCCAAATCTACTTGTTTTCTGTACTTTCCACACTTCCTGCAATAAACTTCCCTAGTCAGAAAAAAAAAATGCACTCTTTTTGTTAATTAAACATAGCCAGGTATTTTCAAGATTCTTTTCTAGTTAGTGGATTTCTGAACAGCCAAGAAAACCAAAGCCATACATTTTAAAGCTAATGTTTAATTCCAGATTACATTTTCCCAATCCTAAGACATACATTTTATGTATGGAAAAAAAAAAAAAACCTCCAATGACAATCATTACTATAAATATACACACAAAAAAGGCTAAAGAGATAGCTATAAAAGTGATACAAGGATTCATTTTGATTAGTGGAATTATGGCTTTTAAAATCTCTTTTCAGCTTAACAGTTTTTATTACATAGCTCTACCATGAACTATTACTTTCATAATAAAAAAAAAAAGTTTGTTATCTTTTTTTTTTTTTTGTCGGTCATAGGGCTTGAACTCTGGGCTTGGGCACTATCCCTGTGCTCTTCTGCTCAAGGCTAGTGCTCTACCGCACAGCACCACAGCACCACTTCCAGTTTTCTAGTGGTTAATTGGAGATAAGAGTCTCACGGACTTTTCTGCCCAGGCTGGCTTTGAACCATGATCCTCAGATCTCAGCCTCCTCAGTAGCTAGGATTACAGGCGTGAGCCACCAGGGCTCAGCAAGTTTGTTATCTTTCTGAGACAACCACAAAGCAAAGTCTAGCAGGTCTATGCAATGGAATATATGGCTACTTTTAAATGCTATAGAAGAGTATTTGATAATATAAAAAAATTCTGATATAATATTAGCTGGCCATACTATAAAACAGTATGTTCAGAATGATCCCAATGCTTCGCTTAAAAACAAACAAAATGTCTGTATGTATGCATAGAAAATACCTTAGTAAAAAATATACCAAAATATTAGTAAGTGTTTAGATGGTAAGATTAGAGATTATTCTAATTTTGTTATTTTGGCATCTGCATTTTGGCCAATTTCCCCCTACTGAATACAAATTATTTTTCCAATATGCAAAAAAAGAAGTTTAAAAAAAATCCATTAAATAAAAAGTTAACTTATTAAATAACCAAGACAGACATAATAGCTATAAGTAGGATTGAAAAGTCCTATTTCAACAAGCTTTCCAGAGCACCCCAGCTCCAATGTCTGGGTCAAAAAGATGCTGTTTCCCAGCAGCAGGACCATCATCCTCCGGTGCATATGCCGTAACGCTGAGCAGGACACTGACTCCACACACAGAGGTTACCAGTCCTGACAGGGTAGTAAACGTTAGTTATCTGCCTCCAACTCAGGGCCTTGTGCACACTAGGCAAGTACTTTGCCACTGAGCTACATCTCAGACCCGGTAGAGAAGAGCATCTGGGGGGCAGGGGAAGGGATGTAACTGCTTTGTATGATTACAAGTAAATATAACTTAGAATCATTTGATTACATTGATTACATTGCACATAACACACTAACTAGGGAATTCTACTCTCAGACTTGGCAAAGACCTCTAGGTCACTAAAAGACAATTTGCAGGACATTGCCTGTGTAAATATTGACTGGAAACAACAACAGAGATGTCATGCCAGAGAATCTTAAGTAAACAGCTCAAAAGCCTAGCTTCCTGTTTATATAATCCTAAATCACTTTATTGCTAGCTGCAAGGTGAATCAGCATTTGGATTTAATCTAGGAATTTCTTGGCTTTCTACATAATAAAGGGACTACAAAGAACAGCTGGAAAGCCAGAAGATACAGGAAGGAACAAAAATAAACATAGACATGTGTCTTCCAGCCTAACCACAAGGAATCTATGCAACCAGATTATCAGCTCAATCTATTTCCAGATCGCTGTCCTCACTGTGGCAGGTGGCAGAGTTACGCAGAGACGTCAGCACCAAGACTTCTTTTTCTGGGAGTAATCCAAACTCCTGTAGAAAAGCTTCAAGGTCCACAGCAAAGAAATCCTCTCCCAGCTGGTCAGTAACACGAACAAAATTGCCAATCAATTCACCCCCCTTGTAGATGAGCAGGGCAGGAAGGGCATTCCTGGTGAACCGACTACTGGCCCCAATAACTGAGCTCTTCACACGGCAAAATTTGACAGCCGGGTACTCCGTGGCAAGGCAGATCATACAACCATTCATGGCTTCGGTGCCTGGAATGCCATCCTCATAAATATGAACCAGGATGAGAGTGCTCTTCTGTTCTTTATCAATTATATCCAAAAACCCTTCTCCACTGGTGATCTCAAAAACCCGCCTGAACTGAGGCCCCTTATGAAACTGCTGTCGCATCTCTTCCATCCTCTGCTTCCGGTACTGCTGCAGAAACTCTTGATCATCCTGGTCCTCATTCATCATAGCAAGCTCCTTCAGAGTCATCTGCAGGAGAACCAGCAGGTGGACACTCGTGATAAATGTCAACAAACGCGATGTGTTTTCAATACCAGAGACATCACACTAGATCTTCATAGCATTATGTATTACTGCTTTTACCTTTTTTTCTTTTATTTTGGAGGCAGGGTCTCATAATATTGCCCAGCAGGCTCCAAACTTAATCGCAAGTGATTCTCCAGCCCAAGCTGGAGATTTCTCATGATATTTCCATTGGCAAAGGACTTTGACATCCTCTACTTCACAACAGGGGAGCAGGGGTTGCCCCAAGATTTTACGTTATTTGCACAAGTTCATATGAACAGTAAGTATAAGACCAGGATTTAAATTAGACTTTAATAACCCAGGCTTTTTAAAATATCAGATTGTCTCTCTAAATAGGCAACATCAGATAGTATCAGTCCATTGATCTTTTTGGTCAGTTTTTTTTTTGTTTTTTCTGTTTGTCTCCTAGGCCCTGTCCCTCAGCTCTTCAGCCCAAGGCTAGTGCTCTACCACATGAGCCACAGCGCCACTTTCGGGCTTTTCTGTTTATGTAGTGCTGAGGAATCGAACCCAAGGCCTCATGCGTGCAAGGCAAGCACTCTACCACTGAGCCACCTTCCCAGCCCCTTTGGTCAGTTTTAACAAGATATTTTGTTCACTGCTTTGTTTTTGTTGAAAAATAACAAGACATTAAGGAACTTCAAAAAGAACATTCATAATGTCTGCCCTGCACACACATACATACTTACATGCACTCTCTAAAAATTTATTTAATTTTTTTCTGAGACAAGCTTTGTTATGTAGCCCAGGCTGGCTTGGATTTTGTTATGTAACCCCAGATGGTCTCTAACTCACAATCTTCCTGAATTATACGTGATACCTCTAATCCCATGCACCCCAATACCTAGCTTTATTTTTCTTATTACCAGTCAACATGGTAGAATAGTTTTGCTTTTATAGTTGAGTTGTAGCCATGAGTAATACAACTTTTGCCTCTTAGCTAATTGTTAATAATAATTTGTTGCCATTTCCCCATGTTTCCAAATAGTATTATAAAGTAATATATAGTGTCTCATTTTCAGCTTGGTATCAATGGTTCACATTTATAATCCTATTCAGGAAGCTGAGAACTGAGCACTACAGTTCAAAGCTAGCCCAGGCAGGAAAGTCTGTAAATCTCCAATTAACAGACAAAAAGCCAGAGGTGGAGCTGTGGCTCTAGTGGCATAGAGCTAGTCTTGGGCACAAAAGTTCAGGGAGAATGCCCAGGCTCTGAGTGCAAGTTCCAGGACTGGCACACATACACAAAAAACTAATATCTCATTTCTGAGATTTAGGCAGTTTCCACTTCTTTCTGTTTGAGGAAACTCAGCTGAAGAGGGATAGTCTTTCTCACACGTGACCCAGGTACTCACATGACTATTACTCCATTCTGATCTCTCCCCTCAACATAAAGAAGCAAATGTGAGTAGAAGGTGTCCTGCCGTAGGCCCAATTTATGTGACAGGATAAAGGTAAGTCCTCCTTTTCCTGTCCTGGTGAAGTAAGACATCTATGCTTCTGTCATAATCTTTTCGTTGGTGTGGGGCAAGAGATAAGAACACCATCTTATACTGTGTCATAATTAAGCAGATCATCGTGAGTTGGCAGCCTTACTGATAACCAGTCTTCTTCCTGTCACATGGCCTTCCACTCTATCCTAGCCTCCCAGAGTATCTGACTTGTTACTGTCCTTGCCAGCGTTTCAGGCCCAGAAATCATCATCCACCTGGTTCAAGATGAACGTTTCTCTGTTTAATGCTCTTATCTGCTCCCTAATCCTGGATGGTATTTTAGTTTTAGAGCATAGCTAAGAGGTTTTCAGGCACTCCAGTGTGTTCATTCTTCCACGGTCTGAGGCACAGGGGTAACACAATCCTTTCATAATACTGAGAAGGTAAAGGAGCATCAGATACTTGGTTCCAAATATCTTTCAATGTCTATTCCTTCTAATATAATGCACAGAATAAATCCTCATGAAATGGCTTCAAAAAAAATTGGAACAACATCATGAAAAGAGCAGGAAAATCTGAATTAAGCCAACTAGGCTTATGGAATGCATTACAACTTCCCTGTTAAGTATTGGTTTCTCATCTATAAACTGCAGAAAATAAATATTACCACATTTGATATGAAAAAGGTGTCTTCCTTCAGGTTACGTCTGGCCTAAAACAAGATTTCAATAAAAGAAAACTAACAGCACTTTTAACAGACCAGTCTCTGTAATAGGGAAATACTGACCTATAATTTAGCCAATGAAAAAGCAGATTCAGAAAGGAAAAGGTTTTTCTACAATCACTGAGAGCAGACTTGAGATCAAATATTGGTGTGTCTGATATGGCTCTCTATCTAACTGGAACTGCAGTTTCTCACAGGCCAAACCAAATCTCCTTTGTCTACTAAAGCATTAAGCTCAGTTCTAGCAGCCAGGGCAACATCGAAGACAAGCCTGTGTACTGCTGATTACCTTCCCACTGATCTTCTCCTGGAGGTCTTTTTGTTTCTGTTGCTCCTCCTCTTCATCCAGATGGGACCGGCAGGTCATGGACAACTTCTTGATTAGCCTCTCCATCTCCCGGCACTGTTCCTCCCTCTGCTCTGTCTCCAACTGCTTGAAGCGACGCCAGTCATTGATAACACCTTTTGGGCCTGTGCAAGATGAACATGGATATGACCACAAATGGACAAGGAACTGTGGACCACTCATGTTACCCTGCTTGATCACTCTCTTGATCTTAACACGAAGCTTCTGCGTACTCTGTCACAGGGCAGCATGGTCTACTTAGTGAGGTAGACTGCAGTACAGTGTGTGATAATTAAGGCATCAAGTTAATGTTCAGAGTTAGGAGACTAGTTACATAAATTATAACTCATTTATTCAAAGGAAAAATAAAAAACACTTAGCAGAAATGAGGCTGTTCTGTATTTCCTGCATTGAGATGCTTCAAATATACCAGGTTAAAAATAATAACAGGGCTGGGAAGGTGGCTCAGTGGTAGAGTGCTTGCCTTGTATGCATGAGGCCCTGGGTTCGATTCCTCAGCACCACATAAGAAAAAAAGCCGGAAGTGGCGCTGTGACTCAAGTGGTAGAGTGCTAGCCTTGAGCTGAAGAGCTGAGGGACAGCGCCCAGGCCCAGAGTTCAGGCCCCACAACCGGACCCAAAAAAAAAAAATAATAATAACAATAGGAGAAAAATGAGGGAGGGGTAACAAGTTTGACAAGAAATGTACTTATTACTTACTTATATAAGTGGAACCCCTCTGTATATCACCTTGACAATAAAAAAAATAATATAATAATAACAAGTCAGGCACAGCAGTACATGCCAGTAGTCCTAGTTATTAGGAAGGCTGAGGAAGGATGAGTTAAGACCAAGAGTTCAAGACCAACCTAGCAACACAATGATATCCCATCTCTAAAAGTAAAAATATGATAATCCAGGATGGCAAAAAAATTGTAAAGTATAATACAACAGTACAATGAAAAATATCACATTGCTGGTTAAGCTATAAATTACGGCCACTGTGATACCTGGAGGATCTCAGTTCAAAGCCAGCAGAAAAATACAAAGACTCCATCTCCAATTAACCAGCAAAATGTTGCACAATCAGGAAAGCCAAGTGAGAGCACAGGCTGTGAGTTCAAGCCCAAGTACTAGCACCAAAAAAAAAAAAGAAAAGAAATTGGTGCCATGCCTACAATATTAAAAAGTGGATTGGGATATACCTCAGTGAGATAGTACTAGGGGGCTGGGAGTGTGGCTTAGTGGTAGAGTGCTTGCCTAGCATGCATGAAGTCCTGGGTTAGATTCCTCAGTACCACATACACAGAAAAAACTGAAAGTAGGGCTGCTGCTCAAGTGATAGAGCTAGCCTTGAGCAAAAGAAACTCAGGGACAGTACCCATACTGAGTTCAAGCCCCAGGACTGGCCAAAAAAAAAAGAACACTAGGTTAGCACATGTGGAGCCCTACGTTCAATCCCCAAAACTGCCAAAAAGAAATTTTTTAAAAAAGATAAAAACAGGGGATGGGAAGGTGGCTCAGTGGTAGAGTGCTTGCCTCGCATGCATGAGGCCCTGTGTTTGATTCCTCAGCACCACATAAGCAGAACAAGCCAGAAGTGGCGCTGTGGCTCAAGTCATAGAGCACTAGCCTTGAGCTGAAGACCTGAGGGACAGCGTCCAGGCCCAGAGTTTAAGCCCCATGACCAACCAAAAAAAAAAAAAAAAAAACAGGCCATACTCACACCTGTAATCCTAGCACTTAGGAGGCTGAGATCTGAGGATCACAGTTTAAAGCCAGCCCAGACAGAAAAGTCTGTGAGAGGGGCTGGGAAGGTGGCTCAGTGGTAGAGTGCTTGCTTTGCATGCCTGAGGCCCTGGGTTCGATTCCTCAGCACCACATAAGCAAAAAAAAAGAAAAAAGCCGGAAGTGGTGCTGTGGCTCAAGTGGAAGAACGCTAGCCTTGAGCTGAAGAGCTGAGGAATAGTGCCCAGGCCCAGAGTTCAGGCCCCAGGACCGGACCAAAAAAAAAAGAAAAGTCTGTGAGACTCCTCTCCAATTAACCACCAGAAAACCAGAAGTTGCAGTGTAGCTCAAAGTGGTAGAGCACTAGCCTTGAGCAAAAAAAAGCTCAGGAACAGTACACAGGCCCTGAGTTCAATCCCCACGATCAACAACAACAACAAAAAGATAAAAACAAGGAGGCTGCAATGCTTGATAAGAAATGTACTCATTATCTTGCCCATGTAATTGTAACCCGTCTGTACAGTATTTTCACAATAAAAAAATAAACTAAAATAAAAAGCTAAAAACAAAAGTGTAAATTTCTAGGAATATACATATACCTATGACTTATGGGATATCAAACAAATATTAATCTTGAGAAACACAACTCAATCCAAGCTCAGTCTGTTCATTGCTTTGCTGCTATGCACTGACATTTGCACTGTGTAATGAAAAGGCAAGAAGTATACACAATAAAGTAACAACATTAAGTTACCTTTGGAAGCGAAGCAGGTGTTTAGAGAAAAGAGATCAGAAGACATAATAAAGTGCTATTTCTGAGACCTGTTCTCAGAGCTCAGAGTTTCCAGTACCTGTGTTAACTGAAATGCCTTCGCCTGCCATCTCAGCCTCTGGAGGCATGGAACCACTGGCCAGGGGACCCCCACTTCCTTCTTTGTCTTCATGGTCACTGTCCTCATCTTCACTGGTACTATAGTAGTACTGCATCTTCTCCCCCAGCAACTTGTCATCCAGGGTCGTCATGGTACCTGAGAGAAGGGGCAATGTATCAGATCAGGCTTTTTACAGACTTAAATACATAGGCTATATGTTAAAATTAACCTAAGTGTTTTCATAAGTAGATTCTCAACAAATCCCATGACTCTGTGTGATGGTTTATCATACTCTGTGTGTGTATGTGTGTTTTCATAGTGTGTGTGTGTGTGTGTGTGTGTGTGTGTGTGTGTGTTGGGACTGGAGCTTGAATTCAGGGCTTCATGCTCTCTCAGCTTTTCCTCACAAGGCTGGTGCTCCAGCACCACTTAAGCCACACCTCTACTTCTGGCTTTTAAAAAAAAAGCTTATTGTTATTATAAAGATGATATACAGAGGGGCTACAGTTAATCTGGTATACACTTATATAAATCTGGTAAAGACTACATTTTTTGGGGGGGGGAGGTCCGGTCGTGGGGCTTGAACTCTGGGCCTGGGCACTGTCCCTCAGCTCTTCAGCTCAAGGCTAGCACTCTACCACTTGAGCCACAGCGCCACTTCCAGCTTTTTTTTTCCTGCTTATGTGGTGCTGAGGAATTGAACCTAGGGCCTCAGGCATGCAAGGCAAGCGCTCTACCACTGAGCACCTTCCCAGTCCAAGACTACACTTCTTAAGCTAGGTGCTGTTAGCTCATACCTATAATCCTAACTACTCAGGAGGCCAAGATTTGAAGATCATGGTTCAAAGCCAGCCCAGGAAGATAAGTCCATGAGATTCTATCTCCAATTAATTACCAGAAAACCAGAAGTGAAGCTGTGGCTCAAAGTGGTAGAGCACTAGCCATTAGCAAAAAGCACTCAGGGACGTGCCTAGGCATTGAGTTCAAGCCCCACGACCAAAGAAAAAACAAAAAAGAGCACATTTCTTTCTGGATAATGTTACCCCTCCCCCTCACTCTCGCCTAGTTTCTCCCTCCTGTACCCATCCACAAGTTTGTATAGTACATTTTCAACATGGTGTCTAGTCAGTCACTTCTGGCTTTTTGGTAGTTAATTGGAGGCAAGAATCTCTCAGATTTGTCTGCTCAGGCTGGCTGCTCTCAACCTCCTCAGTAGCTAGATTACAGGCATGAGCCACCTGTACTGGCTCTTACTCTTCTTATGAAAAGTAAAAGGTTTTTTGGCTAAGATTTCCAATAAATGGTGAAGCTGGTAAGATCCAGGAATAACTAACTTCAGAAACTTGAAAGATGAGCTATTGTTTTCCAAGTAATTTACATTTGCACCAGTGCACTGACCAGGAGGAACTTACTCTACTGACTAGTGTTTTATCTATGCTTGCTTTTAATTTTCCCAACAAGACTACTATCTAACTGAAAAACTGGGTAAGAATCATCAAAAGGAAGGAGCAAGAGTATAATGCTGGGTTAGGGGTAAATGTAGCTCACATATAGCACATTTGTCTAGCAATCTCAACACCCTGGATTCAATCCCTAGTATTGAAAGAAAAAAGAAGACTATAATGCTAACCAGGCCAGCACTTGGGAAGTGGAGGCAGAATTCCAGTTTGAGAATAGCCTGGACTATATAGTGAGACCCTATCTCAAAAAAAAAAAAAATGAGTATGCTGATTCTAAGTCAGACACTGTTCTCAATGACAGATTAGATACGTGATCACTGTAGGCAGACGTTGATGCCAAGATGTTAATAATAACCAAATATTTAAAGGGCTCTTCTCAGGGCAAGATTTAGGTATCAGAATAGTCAGAGACATTTTGGAGAAAGGCGCCATTCGAGGATTGTTTGCAGGCTTCTTTGAAGATCCAGCATCCCAATACCATACTGCCTTCATCAAAGACATCACAGGATCTGTTAGATACTCCATTACGAAGTGACTCCTGAACTCTAACAACTAGTAATCCGAATCTCCAACGCTCAGTACAACCTCCGCGGCGCAGTTTGGTAAACCCCTACAGCAGGATGCTGACTGGATTGGTAGCAGAGTCCTGCAACCCGGGCTGGTAAACTGGAGAAACGTGGTACAAAGAAGACGAAGGTAACCAAGAAAAAGGAACAGGTACCACGGAGAGGCCGAACTAAACTAAAGGTACATGGAGGTGGCAAGGATGGACCAAGTGGGGCACAAAGGGGACAGAGAGCAAGAAGGAGGTAGGGCGTGAGGAAGGGCTAGAGGCGGGGCCACTGAGGATGGTGAAAAGGAAGGGGGCGGGGCCAAGGAGAGGTGTGCGCGCGAGAAAGTGGGACCCATGGGAGGAGGTGGCACGCTAGCAGGTGGGGCCGGCCAAGGCGCAGGCACGCACGCTGAGGCGGGGCCAACGGAGGGGCGTGGCTAGCAGAGAGCTGGGGCGGAGCCCGGAAGAGCCGTGGAGCACCGCCTAGGAGTGTTACAGAATTAGTCCAGGGGAAGTCGCGGGCACCGTGGAGACGGAGGGCCACAAACAAGGCAGCCACCCTTCTACCCACCCGTGCCTAAACACAGCGGACCCCGGTGCAGTTACCCGCCTTGGCCGGTCCGGATCCCTTCGGGCTCCCACTGAGAGGAAGAAAGGAGCGCGACCGACCTGAGCGCTGGGAGAAAAGATCCCGGAGTCCCGACCGCGCGGACCAATGACGCGGCCTTCCGGCGTGATGGCGGGCGCACGCCAACCAATGAGGCCCTGCTTCCGCTAGGGAAAATACGGGTTCGAGGTTGGGACAAAAATGTCTCGACAGTGTTCTGTACTGGTTTCTCTTTTGCTTTGCATTCCAAAAGATTTTTTTAGGTACATTATAAATGTATATTTTATTTGTTCTCGGTCATATGGGGTCTGTTAAAACAGAAAACGACTCCGGGACATTAGTTTGACAATACAGGGCCACTTAAGTATTTTAAGATTTTTTTTTTTTTTTGGTTGGTCGTGGGGCTTGAACTCTGGGCCTGGGCGCTGTCCCTCAGCTCTTCAGCTCAAGGCGAGCGCTCTACCACTTGAACTACAGCGCCACTACAGGGCCACTTAAGTACAGAAGTTAAAGCAAAAAAATGTAAAGCTTAGTTTAATAAGTCTATTTGTTTAACATTATTTTTCAGAAGTCAAATTTCTTTTTGACAGAAAACAGAACACTGTATGAAATCCGGAAATACTAGGATAAGGACATCGATAGGACAACTGAAAAAAACTATTAACTGCTATTTAATAGTTTTGCATGAGTAGTTAACAGAACTTCCACGTGGTTTTATAAGATGCTAACCTCTGAAAATTCCGGATGAATAACATAATCCTATATTTACGATATTTGGTTCCACATAAACTGATTTCAAATGTGCAGCCTTTGTTGAGGGGTCCAATACACCACTTGAGCCATAGTTCCACTTCCATGTTATATTTCCTATGTTATCACTGCTGTTTTGAATTCTTTGTCAGTTTATGCCAATGTCTGTGTCATATAAAATTTGAATTCCAGTCTTTGGATTTTTTTTATTTTTTGTAAGAAATGAGAGGCGAGCAAAGGCACGTTTAACCTTATAATTTTGTTGTTGAAATATGGACATCTTAATAGGACTATAAGAACTGAGGTACATAGTTTCTGTGGCTGAAACAGGCTTTCCTACTACTTAGGAAAAAAAAAACAAAACTGCTTTAATCTAGTGAGAGTTGGGCTCAGTTTGGAGTTTGTTGCTATGGTTACCCTCAGTACACTACAGCCTTCAAAATCTAATATAGTTTATCAGTGTCTAGGGTAAAGATTTGTTACACTGAAAAAAAATTCTCCTAGATTCTGATATGTTGTGCCTTAAAGTATCTACTTGCACATTTCATTCCTGTTCATTTTCCATCTGAAGAATATTCTATTCTTGTTCCAAATGTTTGGTGTTGGGTGTGGTTATGTTTCTATTCTGATTAATGTTTAGTCTTCAGTGTATTGTGGTCCTTGGTTTTAGAGGAAGGAGTAGTCTGATGGGCTTTCCAGTTCCTCTACTGTAATTGTGGGCCCACTGCAAAACCCTATCACTACCCTAGGAGTGTATTTTTATGTTTAAACTCTTTTCATTGTTCCAAGCAACCATGAGTTTTCATTAATGCCCTAAAAACATTGTCCCACCTACCCACCAACATAAAATTAAGGCTTTTGTTCCTTAGTTGGGATTCCAGACATTTATCTGGGTAATTTCTTGCTCTTCTGTATGGCTGCTATTCCTTTTTTTCCAGGTCAGCACCTTGATATTTCTTATGTTATTTAGTCTCTTTTTTCTGGGTACCTGGTGGAATTTCTGTAAGCAAAAAAACTTTAAAGAGTATTTAAATCCCCCTTATTTTCTGTAACCTGCAGAGACTACCTTTTAGCCTATCCCTGACCATCGCCAAGTTGCCAAGTGTTGTTGAATTCTTGACTTTTCTTATTAGTTGCATCTAACTCAGCTGAGAAAGCTTCATCCCTCTCTACAGGTTTTCTCTCCTGAGAATTTCAGGCAATTGGTTGCTATGTAACCTCCACTCTGATAATCTAATAGGCATAATTATGGTCCCCAAGACAATTCCACACCCTCCTCCCTAGAACTCTGAATATGAATAAAGCAATGAATCTGTTAACTGGATTAGCTGGCTCCTAGCCCTTAAGCAAGTCTGTTTTTCACTACATCTGTTTCACCTCACTCCTGATACCATAGTCTCCAAATAATTAACTGATAAAGTCAGTCTGACCTGGAAATAAGAACAAGGGAAAACCAGTCACCTGACCTCCAATCTGCTTTGTTTTTATTTTTTGGTGGGTTTTCTTTTTCCAGTCATTCATGGGGTTTAACTCAGGGCTTGGGTGCTGTCCCAGAGCTTTTCTGCTCAAGGCTAGCACTCTACCACTTTAAGCCACAGCACCACTTCCAGTTTTCTGGTGGTTATTTGGAGAGAAAGAGACTCACAGACTTTCCAGTATGGTCTGGCTTTGAATTGTGATCCTCAGCTTCCTGAGTAACTAGGATTACAAGAAAGAGCCACTGGCATCTGGCCTAATCAGTAATCTTTCCTTAGGTTTACAGGAACCAGGAATATTGGCACACTATGGGAACCACATGAAAATAATTGACTACTCAATAATTAATGTCCATTCCTGAGCTCACCTGGCTGTGATTAAAATTAGACTTCTCAAGAAGCCCCATATAAGCTTTTTTACTTGTGAGCCTGACAAATGGAATTTGGGATGAAAGTTATTTCCCAACTTTCTTGCTTGTTGTCAGTAAAGTGTTTTCTGTTACTAGCTTTATTAGGTGGCAGTGGGCACAGACCCTTCGCAAAGTTACCAGATAACCAACAGTTCAAATGGCAAAAGGGATTTTGCAAATATACTTAAGGTTACTAATCAACAGGCCTTAAAATATAGAAATTAGATGAATGCTGATGGCTCATATCTGTGATCCTAGCTACTCAGGAGGCTGAGATAAGGATCACAGTTCAAAGGCAGCCTGGGCAGGAAAGTAAATCTCCAAGTAAATATATATATATATATATAATACGTAATACATATACAACCATATATACTAACCATATACTTAATGTGTATATGTATATATGCACTTATGTATGTATATATGTATATGTATATATATATATATATATATATACACACACACACACACACACACACATAATCTGAATGGGCCAAATTTAATCAAATGAGTCTTTGAAAACAGAGAGCATTAACTGGTTACTGGCAAAAATCAGAAAGATTTGAAGCATGCCAGGGATTGGTGATATTGTTGGTTGCTGGTTAGAATTATGAAGGGAGCCATGTGAAAGAAGAATGTGGACAGAATTTATAAACAAAAGACAGTAATACTGATAACCTGTAAGAAGGTGAATTCTCACAACAAGAATGAGTGTGAAAGTAGATTCTTCCCCACAGTCTCCAGAAAAGAATGTACAGTAGTCCCTGACAACACTTTTACTTCAGCTCTAAGATCCTCATTTAGTCAGACTGTGTTTAGATTACTGACCTACAGACCCTGTGAAGTAATGTAGTTAATTAAAGTTAGCAAATCAGTGTTCATTATGGCAGCAAGAGAAAATTAAGCCAGGTGCAGGTGTTTCACACCAGTAATCCTAGCAACTCAGGAGGCTGAGATCTGAGGATCGCAGTTCAAAGCCAGTCCAGGCAGAAAAGTCTGTGAAACTTTTACCTCCAATTAACCACCAGAAAACTGGAAATGGCACTGTGGCTCAAAGTGGTAGAGCACTAGTATGAGCAAAAAAGCACAGGGACAGCGCCCAGGCCCTGAGTTCAAGCCCCCTGACCGACAAAAGAAAAAAATTAATATTGCATAGATGAGTTTAGGAAAAAGTGAATTGGAAGTTAAACTGATTCTTTGGAATTGCAAAGAGATTAATGCCATTTTTCTGTATTCCAAGGTAAAAACTCAAAAGCTCCTGGTCCTAGATTCTTTTTTGTTGTTGTGCCTTCCTTCCTTCCTTCCTTCCTTCCTTCCTTCCTTCCTTCCTTCCTTCCTTTCCTTCCTTCCTTCCTTCTTTCCTCTCTCCCCAGTACTGGGGCTTGCACTCAGGGCCTAGGTGCTATTCATGAGCATTTTTGTTCAAGGCTAGTAATTTACCACTTGAGCCACTTACATACAGCCTTTTGGTGGTTAATTGGAGATAAGCCTTACGAACTTTCCTGCCTGGGCTGATTTTGAACCATGATTTTCAGATCTCAGTCTCCTGAGTAAGATTATTGGTATGAGCCAACAGCACCCAGCATTTTCTTTTTTTATGACATAGTTTCCCTGTGTTACCCAGACTTAACTTGAATTCTTTGGCAAAAGTGATCTATCAGCTTTTGGAGATTATTTAAGTTAGATTTGTAATTAGTCAACAAGATCGGATATCAGGATTTAAGATAGAAGAAGTGGGACAAGATGGTGGATTAGAAGATTTCTGACTTATGAAGGAGAAGAATTAAGGTGACAAAGGAGAGACTATATTCTAAAAGAGATGAAGAGTATCAGGAATCACAAGAGGTGACAAAGCTGAAAGAAACTTGTGAGAGATAGAAAATATGACAGAAAAAAGAAATAGGTGAGGAAAGGGGGAGAAGTAGAAACAACCACCGTGACTAAGCTTGGTAGCTCTGGATAGAGTGGCAGACATAGCCACAGGGTAATTTCCTGCTTCCTGCAAACACTGTGAGGATTTGGTGTGCCAGTGACAACTCCTGTATGACAGGCAAGAGTTGAAGAAGACATTATATCACTATCTCAAAGAGATATGAAGGTGTCAGGAGGTGCTAACATAAGGAACCTACAGAGAAAGTCATGTAGCAAGATGCTCAGGCAATGCTGGGTGTGAAGGTTAGTGCCCCTGACTTCTCTGGAGAATGAACCTTATCACCTAAGGGCCAGAGCAGAAATAGCTCTGTACTCCACTGAGTGGAAGGCTTGGCCTCTTAGCTGTGTGACACTATTACTAGGCAGGATTTAGAGCCCTGAACCCAAGTCCCATGAATCATATGACTTTCCCAGTCTCCTTCTTCCCACTCAGTAGTTTAACCAATTAAAGGAGACCCTAAATTCAGCCATAGTCCCAGCACATAGATTCTTAGCTAGGTACCAGTGGCTCATGCCTCTAATCCTAGCTAATTAGCTGAGATCTGAGTGTGACAGTTTGAAGCCAGTTTGGCAGAAAAGTCCATGAGACTCTTATCTCCAATTAACCACCAAAAAGTCAGAAGTGGAGCTGTGGCTCAAGTGATAGACCAAGAGCCTTGATCAAAAAATCACCCAGGCCCTAATTCAAGCCCCAGGACTAGCACATGCGCGTGCGCACGCACACACACACACACACACACACACACACACACACATTCTTCAAGCATCTGAGAAAAACAG